ATTGACATTCTTCTTATGCCTTTAAGAGCTTGTTCTCTGGTGTATATGATACTACTGAGGCTCAGAGAGATTAAGTAACTCATCCAAGGTCCACACTAGTAAGGGTGCCTGACTCCAAAGCCCAGCCATGCTCTTCACATGCAGAGTCCTGTGCAGACAGGTTAGGGGTTGGATGGGGACAGAGGCAGGCCTAAGGAGGGGCCTTGGAGGAGTAGATACCTGGCGGCTCTGGAAGCCTCTTCTGTAGCCCATTGTGAGCAGAGGTCGAGAAGCCCGCCCCAGCCTGCTCCCCTGCCCCTCGGGGCCTGTCATGAGGAGCCAAACAGACAGATTAGATCAGTCCTGGCCTGTGGTCAGCCACCCAAACTCTTAGCTGGTCTTGGGCAATTCATCCTTACCTCTGTGAGCAGAAAGGGTAGGACAGGGGGCTGAGAGGTCAGAGTGGGGTGACAGAGTGGGAGAGGACAAGGTGTCACCTAGACTCTGGTGACAGGTGGCAGCTGGCAGGGGTAAACTGGCTTCTCTGCCATCTACACAACTCAGCTGCCAACCCCTGTGGCCTAGGGAACCCAGGTGTCTCACTTTCCCGTGCTTCTTTGTGCTGTGTTCACAATTCATGCCTCTGATTCATGCTACTAAAAGAACTTTATTTTTTAAATTTTATTTTTCAGAAATAAAATTGTAGCCAGGTACTGAGGCGCATGTGTGACATCCCAGAGACTAGAGAGATTGAGTTAGGAGGATCACAAGTTCAAGGCCAGTGTGGGCAACTTGGCCAGACCCTGTCTTAAACAAACTAAAAAAGGGCTTGGGCGGAGGTAGCTCAGTGGCAGAAGGCCCCTGGGTTTAAGATTGTAGGCAGGGGGTGTAGCTTCATGGTAGAGAGCTTGTCCAGCATGCACAAGGCCCTATTATTGTGTTTCTATCCCAAACATAATAATAATAATAATAATAATAATAATAATAATAATAATAACAACAACAACAACAACAACAACAAAAATTGTAATTAAAATATGCCTACAGAAAAATGCATCCCAGGGGCTGGGGATATGGCTCAAGTGGTAGCGCACTTGCCTGGCATGCGTGAGGCACTGGGTTCGATCCTCAGTACCACATAAAAATAAAGATATTGTGTCCACCTAAACCTAAAAAATAAATATTAAAAAAAAGAAAAATGCATCCATAAGTAGAGTTTGGTGACTTTTTACAAACCAACACATCCAAGTGTAACTAGAACTCAGAACAAGGAACAAAATATTTGCCAACCCCCTCCTGTCCTTTTCTAGTCACTACCCTTAATCAGCAGCAGGCACCTGACTTCCAGGTCATTAGAATTAGTCATTAGTCACTAATTAGTTTTGCCTGGTTGTTGGTGAGGCGTGAAGCCAGGGCCTTGCGCATGGTAGGCACGTGCTCTACCCTAAGGGGCACCCCCTGTCCCGGCTGGGTCTGGTTTTGAACTTCATGTAAGTGGAACCACCCAGCCTGTGCTCTTCTGTGCCAGGTTCACCTTGCTGCACACTAGGTTTGGGCCGTGTAGTACTCCGGGGCGTGCACACACTGTGTTTTATTTATCTGTTCTACTGACGGTGGACGTTTGAGTTGTTCCCAGTTTTTGCCTGTCCAGGGACAGCTGCTTTGAAACGGTTGTGTTTCTCTGCCTTTCTGTTTGAGTGCATACCTCGGGTACGCTTGCGTCCACCTCCAAAAAAGCTCTCTCTGTTTTAAAAGAAAACCTTCCTTGCTGTTTGTTTTTGCTTAATCAGCTTTATTGAGGTGTAGTTAGATATAATAAAATGCACCCATTTTAACTGTACCCCTGGCAACCACTGATGTGGTTTCTATCCTTGAGCATTCGTTTGGCCTATTCCTGAGCTTCCTATGAAGGGACTGTAGGGTAAGTGGGCTCTCTGTCTGGCATCTCTCCTTGGCACCTACCATGCCATCTGCATCCTGGCCTGTAGTTATTGCTCCTTTTTATGGTACACATTATGCAAATGCATCATGGCTCATTTATTCATTTCCCCGTGGACAGATGTTTAGAGTGTTTCCAGCTTGGCTATAATAAACAACGCCGTGACGGTCACTCCATCATTCCTGTACCAGACCTGGTGTTGGGCATGTGTATTCACTGCTCCTGGGCAAATACCTGGGAGTGACTGCTGGGTCGTAAGGTAGGTGTATAGTCAACTTTATAAGAAACGGTCAGACTGTTTTCCAAAGCCTTGGGCCACTTCAACCTCTCATCAGCAATGGATGAGAGGCCAGCTGCTTCCCAGCCACGCCAGCACTTAACTTTGCCATTTATTTCAGTTTAGCCATCCCAGTGGGTCTGAAGGGCTAGCTAGCTTATGGAAGCTTGTGTGTGTGTGTATGTGGCAGGGATTGAACCCAGGGGCGCTTAACCACTGAAGCACATCCCCAGCCCTTTTTTGTATTTTATTTTTTTTATATTTATATTTTAGGGGTAGATGGACACAACACAATGCCTTTATTTTTATGTGGTGCTGAGGATTGAACCCGGGTCCCGCCCGTGCTAGGCGAGCGCTCTACCACTGAGCCATAATCCCAGCCCCTTTTTTTGTATTTTATTTAGAGACAGGGTCTCACTGAGTTGCTTAGGGCCTCGCTGAGTTGCTGAGGCTGGCTCTGAACTCTCAATCCTCCTGCCTCAGCCTCCTGAGTCGCTGGGATTATAAGTGTGTGCCACTGTGCCTGGCCTTATTGGGACTTTAATTTGCATTTGCATGTTTTCCTGTGCTTCTTGGCCATCTGAGCCTTTTCTCTGGGGGATGGTCTGATCAAGCCTTCCTTATTTTATGTCCCCATCATACGTTTCATAGCCGCTGCCTCTGCCATCTACAACCTCAGCATTTTTTCGTTTGGAGTAACTAAAAAATTCTTCAAATTTGCCTTCCTCATTCCAGGGACTTCTCGGTTGTGCCAGACAAACCTTCTTAAACACCACAGTACACACCTCACTCCCTTGCTCTAAGACCTGCTACGGCTCCCCAAGTCTTCAGGGCCAGCCCCACTTCCTCATCTGCCATTCAAGGCAACTCCAGCCCCCGGCCTCAGCCTGTCTCTGCCGCCTTCCTTCCATTGCCTTTTCTACTGATCAGTAGAATATCTTGTCTGCTTCTTTCTCCCCCAGGGTTAAGTCTGCTCTAAATCAAGTCTGCTTCTCTGCAGGGAGGCTGCCTGTGAGCCCCACCCCACGGGGCTTCCTGGTTCCTCTGAGCATCTCTCCTGCTCTGCTGCTGGTTGGCACTCACTCTTTCTCCTTCTTCTTTTTCTTCAGTATTGGGCAAGTGCTCTATCACTAAGCTACAGCCCTGGCTCTTATTTTATTTTGCCAAGTTGTCCAGGCTGGCATCGAACCTAGGATCCTCCTGCCTCGGCCTCCCTGGTAGCTGGGATTACAGACCTGTGCCACTGTGCCCTTTCTTTATTTATTAAAAAAAAATTGGGGGGGGAAGGGATGGGGATGTGGCTCAAGTGGTAGCTCGCTCGCCTGGCATGCGTGTGGCCCAGGTTCGATCCTCAGCACCACATACAAACAAAGATGTTGTGTCCGCCGAAAACTAAAAAATAAATATTAAAAGAAAATTCTCTCTCTCTCTCTCTCTCTCTCTCTCTCTCTCTCTCTCTCTTTAATAAAAAAAATTAGTTGGACAGCATGCCTTTATTTTATTTATTTTTATGGGGTGCTAAGGATTGAACCCAGTCCCTCACATGTGCTACGCAAGCGCTCTGCTACTGAGCTACAGCCCCAGCCCCTATTTATTTACTTTTTTCTGGTGCAGGGATGGAAATTTTGCCCCCTCACAGTACAAGCTAGATGTCCAGGGAGAAGTGGGCCTGGAGAGGGGCCTGTTGGTACCAGGAAGTTCCTCATACACATGATAAAAGTGTGGGCTTCTCCTTATAAATGTGTGGTACCAATATTGTATGTGAATATGCTTATAAAATCACATATATCTCCTCAAAAATTCTAGCATGTTGTGGGGGGAGAAATTCAAAGGTGGGGTGGGATAGGGAAGGAGAAGGGGGGCTTTCCCCCCTGTCTAAGAACCTTTGATGTGCACCAAAGATTATTGGATTTGAAGGAGATGTCCTGGATTTGAGCTCTAGGTCTATCCTTTTGTAACTGGGTGTCAGGAGATCAGTTCGTTGACTAGGGAGGATGAATTAAGTTAAAAAATAAATGGGGAGAGGTCATCCTTCCAGAACTGTGGGGAATAGGCAAGATCTTCCCATGTGAAAGTCAAGGGCAAACCCTAAAGAGCCCATGTGTGCATTCAGAATTGGTTTACTTAGGAGCCCTTGGCACACCGACCTGGTGAAGAAACCTTGTCTTTTAGGAGGAGCTGGAGGAAGAGGCCAGGGAAGGAAGCAAAATCACCTCCCCTCCTCCCTCTCCCTCCCTCACAGTCCCCTCTTCCCAAGGGCCTCCTGCTGAACACGCGCTGCTGTCCCCTCCCGTCAGACTTTATTTTAAAAAAGGCTTCAGTGTTAAACTGGGGGGAAAGTATAACAAAGAAGAAAAATGCAGAGGACTCGGTGATGTACAGAGGGAAGTCTGTAGAAGTCAGAGGCTTATCTGCTGAAGACCCAGGTCGGCTCCAGCTCTGCCAGGCGCTGGCTGGCCCTGGCCCGATGGGAAGGGCTAGGACAGGTGATTTCAAGTCTCAGGGGCATTGTGGAGGTCCTGGGTTCAGATCTGGGCACCTCCGGGTGAGTCTAACTGCCCCAGAATCCCAGCGAGTCTGTCCACTGACCCAGGAACTGACCTTTGAATAGGTTTTCTTCATAGCTATTCATCCCCTCTCCCAACACATTACCAGCCTGGGCAGTCAACTTTCCATGGGTCACCTCTACCAAAGCCACATTCAGAGGGGACCCCACTCCCTATCCTGGGAGGAGGGAGTCCTTGTACTTTCTACTTCACAAATTCATAAATATTTATGGGCTAATCACTGTTTCAGCTTCTGGAGATGCCGCTGGAGCCAAAGCGTAGGCAAGGAAAGCCCTTTGGCATCCAGCGTCCCCTGTTGGCAGACGCAGGAAGGAAGACAAAGACCCCTGTCCTGTGGGGGTGGGGTGGGCTGTTCAGTGCGATTAAGAGAAATCTTCACCTTCTGGGCACCAAACACCAAGAAAGGGAGGGAGTTGAGATCGGTGGTCAGGGAAGGCATTCGGGAGTCTCCACTGAGGTCTCTGCCCTCCCCCAGCCCTGCCCCCTCTACCCCAGGCTGGTTCTCGCTGCAGGGTGGCCTCCCCAGCTGGAGCATCACCTGGGCTCCTCCCGAGGCGGTTCTAGTGCAGCGTGCGGGGAGGGCGCACCGGCCGGGCCGGGTCTCCATGACGCGCGCCAGGAGGCGCTGGAGTGCCCACACTCCGACCCTGGGGGCTGTGGGTGTCCCCGGTTCCGCGGGTGACTCCGCCCCAGCCCGCCCCCGCCCGCGCTCCCGCCTCGCCTGTGCTGCAGCGCACACGCCCAAGTCCTCCTCCAGCGTCCCCGACCTGGCGCGCCCAGGGAGCCCATGGAGCTGGCGCGCGGCGCGTCCAAGGGGGATGGTGGGGCCGAAGCGCTGCTGGGTGAGCTGGAGGGGCTGGTGCAGGACGTGGTGAGGGCAAGTTCCTGGTGGGAGCTCCACGGCGTGGACTGTGCCATCCTCGCACTCAGCCTCCTCGCCTTGCCAGCCGGTAAGGGACCTGGGGTCAGAGACAGAGGGACAGGGACGGGCTGCGGGTGGGGGTAGGTTGCGGCGGAGGGTGGTTGTGCTTGCAGGCGGTGCTGCAGCTGGCCTGCAGTGGAGAGGGGAAGTCGGACCTGTGCCGGGGACCCTAGGCTGAAGGGTCACACCTTAAGCCCCAAAGTTGGCTTAGAGTGTCCTGTCCTGTGACTCCAGAGGAACTGGACTCAGACATGGGAGAAAGTCTGATAGCTTGAAGGTAGTGGAGGGGAAAGTGGAGAGGAGTCAGGGAGGGCTGGGGAGGGAAGAGGTGGCCATGCAAAAGGGAAGAATGTTCTACTGAGGACACCAGGGAATGGGTGAGAGGAGTGGGGAGAGGGCCTGAGGTTTCCCTGGAGCTCTCATGGTCTGGAACTCTGTGATACCTGACCTCCATCTCTGCTCTGTTTGAGGGCTCAGCAGGGAAACCTCAGCAGATTCAGGACCCCTGAAGTTTCCTTGGCAAGACCCTGGGGCTCTATTTCATTCCAAATCCTGTAGGGAGAGCCAATCCATCCCCCTCAGGTCATGGAAGGTCCTGCCTCACTCCTGCCTGTGGCAGCCCCAGGGCTGGGCCCCCTGTGGCCAGGGATTCTGGGGTGGAGTATTTAGGCCCAGCTCTTCAGGAACTGGAGAAAGACCCTGTTCCCTTGTCCCCTCCTCTGTGCAGGGTTCCTGTGCCTGTCCTCTGAGAATGTCCTGGTCTTTGCCATTGGCATCACCATCTTGGGCGTGTGCCACTCCACGCTCACTGTCAAGGGCAGCCACCTGGCCACTCATGGTGCCCTCACCAAGTCCAAACGCTGGAGCAAGATCTGGTTGCTCTTCTTTGTAGAGGTGAGCCTTGGACAGGGGAGGGCTGCTGTCGTCAGGCAAGCAGTCTCACTTGGTGCAAGCATGCAGATGTGTACAGGCATGGATGTGTGTGTGTGTGTGTGTGTGCACAACCATGCACAGGTTTCCAAGCCCTCAAAAGGGAGTTTGCACCTGATGGGTAGAGAACTGTGTGATGCACATCTGAGTGTCTAGCTATGACAGTGAACTTGGCCTGGGCACCTTCTTTCTCCTGAGGATGTCCACTCACCTCTCTGCAGCACCAGGCCAAGTATGACCAGAGCTTCTTCCTCCTATGAGGACACCTGTGGCTGGCAAGTCCTGTTTTGTGACTGTCTTGGCCCATGGCTGCAATCACTAGAGCCTCTGGGTTTTGCAATCAGAGTTTAAAACGTAACCCACACAGAAGGGGCAGGGGCAGGTCTGGTGTTTCAGAGTTCCAGTTTGTGGAACTAGATTGTGCCCTTCTGACTCCTGGCCAAGGCCAAGCCATCCTGAGAGGCTCCTCCAAGTCTCCGATGGACCCTCCTCTCTCCTGACTCTTGCTCCCCTGTTTTCCATCTCCCCACTGTTCTGCCTTCTTACCTGGGGGTCAGCCCAGGAAGGCCAAGGTGGGCAGACTGTCCTCTCGCAACGGGGCTTCCAGCAGCCTCTCAGAGTCTCTCCCAGACTTGGTCTGTCTTTGCCTCCAGGGGGCCCCTCCCCTAACCACTCAGGTCCTTTATGAATAAATCAGGAAGCTCGTAACAGAAGGAGTCCTTTTCTGGCAGGGACTGGTTGCCATGACCTTTAACTCAATCATTAACTCTTTATAAAGTCGTGTAATCTTATAAAACTTTATATGACACACACATAGATCTTCTAATTTCACCCACTGAGTGGAGGGGACATTTCTCACCTGGCTTTCTCCATCCCTTGTTTTTTTCCCCTCCTCTTCCCACCAGCACGTTTTCTGAAAGGCTGAGGTCAAGAGGAATCCACAGGTTCCCCATCCTCAAGGTCAATTTCAAAATGTTTCCCTTTCCACGGACCCCTGGATGGGGTCTCAGCCAGACTCAAGGCAAGACTGGACCCTGGGGTCTGGCGCAGAGCCTCACTGAGTTTGTAGCCTGCCAAAGGAGGCAGGGGCAATGTTGGCTGTGTTGCGACATGGCAGTGTCACAGTGCTGGGACCCAAGGGGTAGGATTGGCTATTTTGAGTTTTCAAAGCTGCACTGAGTGCTAGGAACCTGGAGGCGGTTGAGGGTGAGTAGTTTTTGTGGTCTGTGGACTGGCGCAGACAGCAAGGGACTTATTGTATAGATTTGGCCTCAGGGTTCTCACACTTGGGTGAATAGCTAGGTGACTGGGAGGTCCAGGCGAGTTGGAGAAGCCTCAGTGACCCCGATATGCACTAAAACATGAGAACTCCTGACCCTGACTTCCCAGGGCCTCAGGCTGTCATATAAGTAAAGCCAGGAGCCAAGGACACTGTCCCACTGGAGAGCTGTTCGGGAGCCAGGCAGCCCCGGGGCTGGGTTCTACTTGCTGTCCACCGTCTTGTCCCCAGGAGCCCCAGACCAGTAGCATCATCTTTGCCTTTTATCTGTTCAGGCCTGACTGAGCTGTTGGCAGGACTTCCATCAATATTTATGGACCATGACCACGCAATTCACTTGGGGGCAAGGTCCCTGGAAAAGCTGATTGACAGAAGGTCATGCCCTGGAGGGTCACAGCCTGTGTCCCCTCAGTGCTGGAGAGGGAAGGCTTGGCTACCCACTCGGCGTGTGGCACTGGCTGATTTGCTGTGATGGACCACCAGGCAAGGCACAGTGACTTGCACTCAGGCTCTCAAGTCATGGGGATGAGGTGGAGTCAGTAATGGAGATTTTCGGACCCCAGAGTGTGGCTCTGGTTACCCTCTGGGGAAGGTCCAGTCCCTGTGCAGGGGAGGGGATGGATCAGACCCTCTAGCTGACATGGTGAGGCCACAACAGTCCTCAGAAAGGTTGCTGATCTTATGGCCAGGCAGGGGGCCAGGGTTAGGGGCACATCCTTTGCAGCCTCGAGCCTTGGTTGGAATCCCAGCCCCGCTGGGCTGCCCTGACCTTGGGCAAGTTAGCTTGGTCCAGCAGCCAGTGTTAGTTCCTCCTGGAGTCAGCTGGAGGGAAGGCCTGGCCTCCTTCCTGAAGCAGGCAGGTGGCTGCAGAGAGCCCGCCCAGCCCTCGACTAGGGCCGGGTCCTGACCTGTCTCTCCCCCTGGGGGGGAGAGGTGGTCAGCTGCAAGGGAGGGGGAGCGTTCGTGGAGGAGTTTGTTCCACTCCTTGTTTTGATTTTGCTCACTGGCAGGTTGCAGGGCTCGCAGCCGTGTTGGGGACTGGGTTGCATAGCACAGAGGACAAGCTCTGGCGGTCTGGGACCTCAGAGGATACCCGGGACCTTTCCTGGATCCCTGACTGTCACTTCTCCTGCATATCCGTGTCTCTTCCCTGTCATCCTTTTACTGATGGGGCCCGTGTTCTTCCCGGACTTGGACCTTTGGGAGGCTCCATGACTGTAGGGAATCTTGGCCCAGGTTCCTTCCAGGGTCCTGCAAATTCTGCCACCTCAGGCATCCGCCAAGCACCATTGGCTTTGCTGAGCACCAGCTTTTGCTGTGGTTGCCTCAGGATTGACCACTCCTAACCCGGGCGGAACCAGGACCTCTATGACCCAGTGGATCGGGGGAGGGGGTGATCAGTGGAGGAATGGGGGCTTCTACTCCAATTCCCATGCCAGATGAGTTCCCCCAGAAGACCCCCCTCTGGCTCACCTGGGAAAATTCCTCGTCCCTCCTAGTAGCATAGCCCATTCTCTAGCCCTGGCCTCACCCAGCACAGCACCTGGCTCTCCCTGCCCTGGGTTATGCCACTGGGACTGCCAGGCCTATGCTCAGGGACTGCCAGAGAGGGTGCCACACTCAGTTGGCCGTCAGAGGGTGGGGGCAAGGTGGGGTGAGCAGGCTGCCAGGCTTCAGTCCAAAGGACTGGATTAACTCCTGAAACCAGAGGGTTTTAGGGACTCTCCTACAAGTTGTTCAATAATCCAGGATGCTCCCCTGAGTGGGAGGGAACAGGCTGTACCAGTTACTAAGCTCTTTGTTGTGTCTCAGCTTCAAATCCTCCTTGTAAAGTTGGCTTTGTGCTACGGGGCGGAGTCACAGCTGGTCCACAGGGAGCCCTGCACAGCAGACTGTGCCCTGCAGGGAGGAGTGTCACACAGGAGAATGCCTGTCACCCTCTGCAGGTCCCTTGTGATGGTGAGAACAGCTGAGAACTCCCAGCCTAGACATGGTCTCCATCCAAGCCCCAAGGACTCCTGTTTGAGAAGGAGCAACTGGGCTATTTTTTCCTGGTGCTGGAGATGGAACCTCAGTCTCACACATGCTGGGCACTCACTCTGCCACTGAGCCACACCCCAGCCTCCACTATGACTTCTTATTGTTTTATTTTTTAAAATTTACTTGGTGGGGGGCTGGGGCTATAGCTCAGTGGCAGAGCACTTGCCTAGCATGTGTGAGGCACTGGGTTCAATCCTCAGCACCACATAAAAATGAAAAAAAATAAATAAATAAAGGCATTCTGTCCATCTACAACTACAAAAAATTTTTAAAAATTAAAAATTAAAAAAATTTAGAGGGCCAACACGGATCTTCAGTACAAAATACAATTTTTATATAAACTTTTTATTTTAAAAATTATTATAGAGTCGTTTCCCCCAGGGTTATATTTACATAAGTGTCATTTGATGGTGAAACCGAGGAAGCTGTCATTGGTACAGTGTGTGTGTGTGTGTGTGTGTGTGTGTGTGTGTTAGTTCTAGGCCATTTTATCACATGTAGCCTCTCAAAATGCACTCTTAACGACCTTGGCATGATTTCCTTAAGAAGCCTGAGGCCCAGCCCGGTGATGCACACCTATGATCCCAGTAACTCAGGAGGCAGAGGCTGGAGGATCAAAAGTTGGAGGCCAACATCAGCACTTAGTGAGGCTCTGTCTCAAAATAAAAAGTAAAAAGGGTTGGAACTATCTCAGTGGTAAAGAGTCCCTGGGTTCAATTCCCAGTTACAAACAAAAAAAGAAGAAGAAGTCTGAGACAGGAGGCTGGGGGAGACAGACAGCAGGGCTCTGGAGCAGCTGCAGCAGCCTGCGATGGCACACTGGATCTGAGGAGTGTCCATCCCCGGCCATGCTCTGCTAGGTGCCAGGGACCAAGGTGAGTAAGACCTCCAGTTCCCTAAGTGCTGAACCCAGTGAGGACCCCGATGATACAGCTGACGCTCGCTCGCTGCTTGCTGTGTTCTTGTCTGAATCATTTAACAGTCATGCCTTTCCAAGAAGTCAGAGCTATTCGCACCCTTACTTTGGACGTTAGGGGACACTTACCTGGGATGGTAAGTCCCTTGCTCAGGGCTGCACAGCTGATATGTGGTGCAGCTGACATTCAAGCTGGAGCAGCAGCAGAATGTGTTGAAGGTGCCAGGGGTGCTGTGAGGACCCTCTGCTCTGGGGGGAGCGTGGCAGGGACGCTGGGCAACATCTGGAGATGCCTCTGACAGTCATGACCGGGTGTGTGGACGTGTGTGAGCATAAGAGTGTGTGCCACTGAGATCCAGTGGGCCCAGGCCGGGGATGCTTGTAAACATCATACAAAGCAAGGACAGGCCCACAAGAAACATGGCCCAGCCCCAAGCGTCAGTGGCGCAGAAGCCCAGAACCCTAGGGAATTTCCCAAAGAGACACCGGCTGGCCTCAGAAGCCGGATGGTGATTTCAGACAAAGCCCATACAGGGACCAGGGGATGGGTATGAGAAATAGCACAGTGCTTGAGGGACCCACAGAAATCTGGGGTCACTAGAATCTAGTGGGGATCTTGGAGAAAAGAGGTCAAGGAGGCCCACGTGTCAGGCAGAGGATCTGGGACTTTGTCCTGTGACCAAAGCTAGTTGTCTCCATTAGTAGTTTAAAAACTGATTTAATTGATTTTGTGAATAGCTAACATGATTCTAGAATTCAGAATTTTAAAGGTGCAGGGATAAGTCTTCCTCTCACATTCCATGGCTGCCCCATTTTCCTCTTGGGAAATGATGGGAGATGGAAGTTGCCAGTCTTTTTTGTGACCTCTAATATTTCCTTCTTTCTTTCTTTCTTTATTTGTTTGTTTGTACTTGAGATTGAACCCACTGATGCTCTACCTCTGAGCTACATCCCAGCCCCGCCACACACACCTTTTGCAGTACTGAGGATTGAACCCAGGGGTACTCGACCATTGAGGCACATCCCAGCCCCTAAGTTGCTGAGGCTGGCCTTAAACTTGTGATCTTCTTTCCTCAGCCTCCCTAGTGACTGGGATTACAGGTATGTGCCACAGTGACTGACCTCTATGTTTTATTTGTTAAGTAAATAGTACCTTACAGAATTTAAAAACATAATTATAAAATTTTGGCACAATCAAAGCTGGGTTGTGACTGTCACTGTACTGGGTTTGAGGCGGATGAGGCAGTGAGGGCTGGAGGGTGTTGGTACAGGCCAGCAGAGAGATCAGGAGGAATGGCAAGGTGAGGCTGGGGTGCAGGAGCAGGTGCAGGAGGAGGTGCAGGAGGAGGTGCAGGAGAGGGTGCAGGAGGGGGTGTAGGAGAGGGTGCAGGAGCAGGTGCAGGAGGAGGTGCAGGAGCAGGTGCAGGAGGGGGTGCAGGAGGAGGTGCAGGAGCAGGTGCAGGAGCAGGTGCAGGAGGAGGTGCAGGACGGGGTTCAGAAGGGGGTTGCTTGGCTGGGATGGGGGAGGAGGAAGGTGGAGGAGGAGGAGGAAGAGTCAAGGGTGAAGGCCAGGTTTCCAGCAGTGAGCCACTCCTGAGATGGACTCACACACGAAGGGCAGATGGTGGGCACTGTGGTCAGCATGAGTGTTTCAGACATAGGCAGGATGAGAGAGGGGTGGTGGGACGTTGCACGAGCAGCTTGCCTCAGACTGGAGGGGCTCTGGGCTGTGGTCTGTCCAGCTCCCGTTCTTCCCTGCAGACCCTCTTGCTGATTCCCAGGGGAACAGCAGCTCCTTCTCAGGTGGCTTCAGAGGGGTAGGAGCCTCTGGGAGTCTGTGGGCCTCAGCAATGGGTTTATCAGATCAAACATAGGATGCTAGGATAAATTTGAATTTGGGGTAAGTAACCTATATTTTTTGTACATGTGTATCCCAAATGTCACACACATGGGTGTTTATCCGAAGTTCAGATTCACATTTTCAATTGCTGCATGTGACAGCCCTATTTAGTGAAATACAGGTCCCCTAGCATGAGTCCTCAGGGTAGCTCCCCAGCAGGATTGACATGCATAGTCATGCCACTCCTGGAAGGACAGAGGATCAGTGGTGAGGGCCACGGAGGAGAGCCCCTTGAGTACTTGTCCTGACGGCCCTGGGCTTGCTACGGTTGGAACGAGCCCATCAGGGTTCTCTCCCCTTCCAGGTCCTGACCCTGGTGTTCCCAGGTCTAGCATGGTGCACAGCACTGGTCAGGGATGAGGATGCTTAAGGGAACAAACAACTGTATGAAAGGTAAATAAATGAAAGTTTTGGTGCCCCCTAAGTTTAGCTGAAGATGTCAAGAGGAATTAAACTGACATCAGCCCTCTGAACATTCTGGCCTTTCAGAGCCTGCATGCTTCAGAGGGGAGCTCTTAAATCTTCCTAGGGACAAAGAGGGTGGTGGTTGATATCAAGAAGCAGCACCAGTTGGGTGTGGTGACCACACCTGAAATTCTAGCAACTCAGAAGGCTGAGGCAGGAGGACCACAAATTTGAGGCCAGCCTCAGCAACTTGGTGAAACCCTGTCTCAAAATAAAAAAAAAATAAAAAATAAAGAGGGCTGGGGATGTGGCTTAGTGGTACAGTGGACTTGGCTTCAATCCCCAAGACTTAAAAAAAAAAAAAATTAGGGTTGGGGTTGTGGCTCAGTGGTAGCAAGGTGCTGGGCTGGATCCTCAGTACCACATAAAAATAAATAAATAAAATAAAGGTATTGTGTCCAACTACAACTAATTTTTTTTTTAATTATTAAAAAAAAAAAAGAAGTGGAAGCACCAAACTTGAGGCTTCTGGGACTTTCTTGGGTCTGGATGTGAAATCCTCTTGGGCAAGACATTTAAATGACCCTTTATAGCATGAAAACAGCTCATTTTCCAACTAACTCAGCAGGATGTAGTTGTTTGCCTGTGCCCCCAGTGAATGGCAGACAGATTGAGGTGCACCGTGTCCATCTTCCCCGGCTACCCCAGCTCACCCCTTTCTCTCCCTCTCAGGAGGAAGCATCTGAGTCGGAGCGAGAAGTCCACTGTTATAGAAATAGCCTCAAAGCTGTTTTTATTCACATCAAAAGGCAAAATCATTCACCAGCTCTGAAGTGTGTGCTGAGTCACAAATCACATGTCATGCACCTCGCTGTCACCTGTCTCCCCTGCATCTGCAGGCCTGGGCATGTGGCTGAGGGCCCTGGGGGTGGCATTCTCAAGATGCTCAGTCTGGATCAGGCTCCGGGCCATTGTGGCAATGCCACTCAAAGTGTGGTCAGCTACTGTTCTACCGGGAGACAGGGAGCTGGTGCCAGGAAGATCAACTGTCACCAGTAAGACAGCTGAGTGCAGCTGACCTTTCCTGACCAAGGAACTTAAACCAGCTGTGCGACCCCCATGGGTGAGGCCTAGGAGTAGGCAGGCCCCCCTGAGACCAGCGGGACTGAAAGACACTGTTACTTGAGTGACTGCCTGCCCTCTGCAGCCTCCTGCAGAATCTGTCCTTGGTGAGGTTACAGAAGCAGAGAGGCAAACCAGCCCCTGGTGCATTGTGTCACCTGAGAGCAAGGTGCCCAGCCTGTTGCTGTGGACTCCCTCACCCTTGGGGTCCTCTCCTTCACAGGGACCCAACAGGTATTGCTGGTTTGACCCTATCTGCCTGTGTCTTCTGTAAAACTGCATATGTGCCCCTTGGTGTCCTTTAGATAGGGCTTCTGGCTACGTTTCAGCTTCTGTTTCGTTCCAGATGAAAGGCTGCTAATTTTCCTTATCTTTCTCCGGCTTCTGCCTCTGCTGCCTGGACCCAGAGCCAGGCTTTGGGTTGATTGCGATGAGCACCTCATCTCCAGAGCAGCTTATCTTGGTTGAAATTGGACTTCAGGGTCCAAATCCCCTCTCTGCCACTTCAGCTGTATGACTTGGGCTTGTGTGGCCTCTCTCTATCTCGGTTTTTCTTGTGTGTGTTGTGGGGAGGAGCGCAGCTGACCCTAGGTTAGGAGTATGTGAAGTACAGAACACTGAGCAAGGTTCGATGTGTTCAGTTGTCTGTCTTTGACCAGCCCACACAGTGGTATTGGGAAACCCTTCAAACAGGCAGGCAGTGTCTTCAATAAAATTAGCAAAATCTTCTGGTCCGGATAAAATATTGGAAGAGGCGTATATCTGCATACTCATTTGCATATATCTACATAAGAAACACCACCACTAGCACCTCTTTTGCATTTAGAAAGACTGTTGGAGCTGGAGTTGGGGCTTGAGAGCTGCTCCCCGTGGTTGAATCCCATCCAGAACCCACGCCAGAAAAGTCACCTCTAGGGAGAAGCTAACTCAGCCTCCACTTGAGGCAACTCACCCCACATTGTGCTGCTCAGGAGGTGCTTCCTTTGACCCCAAGCCACTCCTACACCCCTGTCCTTGCTGCTGTGGGCTCAGAATGCAAAGTGGCGTCACGAAGGAGCAGGTGGCTGTGAGTTAAACATAGGCAAGAGAATTGCCATGGCTGCCCACTTTGCCCACCTCTGAGACTCTGGAGGTTGTCTGGGTGGTGATCACAGCAGAGTGGCCATCTAGGAGCCTGACGTCTCTGTCCCCTGATTCTTTACAGAGCCACATCAAGAGGATGATGTCGTTTTGGGTCACCTGTACCTGAGAGTTGATGGTCCAGGCTGATCAGCTTGGGGTGCAGAGAGGAAGGCCCTGGAATTACAGGGTTTGAGGAGGGTAGGGGTGTTCTCGAGTTTCCCCCAGGTCTCACCCCACTCAGCCGCACCTAACACAAATTGGTGTGCTCTCTGGCTCCTCCTCTAGGTGTGCACGGCCTTCACTGCGGAGTTCGGGAAGTTCAGCCACGTCAACATGCACCATGGCTACACCAACGTGGTGGGTCTGGGGGACTCCAGCACGTGGAAGCTGCCTTGCCTCAACCGCTACGTCTACATGTTCCTCGCGCCCTTCCTCATCCCCATCATCACCCCGCTGGTGGCTCTTGGTGAGTACCTGATGGCCTGGGTCCAAGTGCCCTGCAGAGGCCTGTCCCTCTTCCTTCCTTTCCCTCCTGGCTTGGTGGAAGCCAGAAGCCTTGGGTTCAGACCTTTTGGTCTCTGCTAGACTTTCTGAGCCAGACAACCGGACAGCAGGACACAAGTCCAACTCTAGCTCTGCCACCTACTGGCTGGTGAACTTGCGCAGATAACCTGACTTCTCTGAGCCTCGGGTTCCTCAAGGATGGTGTGAAAGCATAATGAGGCCACAGCCAGAGCTTTGTAGATGCACACTGATCATCGTAATAGTTGGCATCACGGGAGCAACACCACGGGGTAGAAGGAGCAGGGGGATGGGTGGCCTTACGTTGGTCATGTTGCTTAGTGGCTCCCTTCCTCATCCAAACAATGGGTGAACACTCAGGCCACCCTCCGCCCTCACTCCCTTGGCCACCAGGAAGCCAGCTGGTGAGGACTCCAAACCTCGCCTGCCCTCATTCCCTGTCTTGCCCTCTGGCAGAGCGGCTGTGGAAGGTGGAGCTGCGGATAGCTCTGCGGACGCTGGGCCTGATTTCCCTGGGCCTTTACTCTCAGTACTGGCTGCTCCTGAACGTGTCCGGCTTCAGAAGCCCCAGTTCGGCCCTGGCCTGCATGCTGCTCATCAGGGCCTTGCTGGCCCATCCCTTCCTCCACGTCAACATCTTCCAGGTGAGGCCTCCCCACCCCTGGCACTGGGGAGTTATGGGGAGCACTCTCCAGGGAGGTGACTCAGGCTGGGAGAGGGAGGGCACAGGAGGAAGCAGCCCCCTTCTGGGGTCCCCTCTCGGTGGCTTGAGTTTTAGGTGAAGAGTTTGCTTGCCCTCAACCGGCTGCCCTGCCTCATCCGCAGGTGGATTTCCATGTGAGGTGAAGCGAGGGTCCCCGTCAATGCCACGAGGCAGGCAGAGGAAGGAACTGGAGATGGGGGTCTTGGAGGGAGGCCGGGGGCTCCACATTCAGTTCTGATGCATTCCCACCGGGGTGTCTCCCTGTGTCCCCATCAGTGGAGACCCCAGGTTGGAGTTCCCTGTACACTCACCTGGCACTCAGTACAACTGCCATCAATTACTTAATCCCATAACTGTGTCCCGTCTGCTTGTCCTTCTCAAATGGAAGTTTCTGCTCCCCTCCAAGTTCCCTAGACCCAGGACCGTGCCTGACAAGGAGGTACCTGCAAATACTCAGTGAAGGAAAAAGCACAAGAGGATGCGCAAACTTGAACTTGAACAATGAGTGGGGTTTTGACTGGTGAAGAGAACAGGGAAGGTCTCTCCAGGACGAGGCAAAGGCACGGTGCCATGTGGGCAGTCTCAGGCATTCAAGTACCAAGGGTGCAGAGGTCCCCAAGCCAGGCCTCCCGTTGTCCAGATGGGAGGAGGCCCAGAGATGGGAGAGACTCAGCTCAGGGCCCAGACTGGGTTGGCATCAGAGCTGAGCCGGAGCCCCACCCCCTCCTGCCTCCACCAGGTCCTTCTAGGTTAGGACTTGGGGGGCAGAGCACACTGGGCCTCTGAGTGCTTGGTGAGGACACCTGAGGCAAGGGGGAGGCCCAGGCCCCACCCCAGGACATGACCACATGTCTGTCACAGCACATAGGGCTGCCCATGTTCTCCCGGGACAAGAAGCCCCAACGGATCCACATGATGACCCTGGGGGTTCTCAACCTGCCCCGGCTGCCGGTGTTGGACTGGGCGTTTGGCCACTCGCTCATCAGTTGCCACGTAGAACACCACCTGTTCCCCAAGCTCTCTGACAACATGTGTCTGAAGGTAGACAAGGGCTGGTCTGGAGGGGCTGGGAGGACATGCCTGGCTGGTGGTGGGCAGTGGTAACCTCTAGGGTTCAGCTGAACCCTGGGTTCCCCAACTGGCCTGGTCAGAAGTCACCCAGGAGGGGCACCCCAACTGACAAGCAGCAACGTGGGTTGCAGATCAGAGACACCTGGGTTTCTTACCAGCTATGGGACTCTGGACAAGTTAATTGAGCCTCAGCTTCCCCATCTGTAAAATGGGATGAAACTGCTTACCTACAGGATTTGAGGATGGACTGAAGAAACAGACCTGAAATACTTGACACCAAGCAGGTGCTTGGCAAAGGAAGCCATGCTTTTCATTTCCCTGTGCCAAGAGGGGCTGTTGCATGGTTGGGACCTCGAGGGAAGATTTGGGGGAGAAATCCTCCTTCCCTTGCCTGCGAGTAAAGTTGAGGGAGGCAGGAGTTTTCTAACACCTCAGCCCTCAGCCAACGCCCCTGCCCTCCCTGCCCTGAGCATTCTGGACAAGGCAGATGGGAGCTGGGGCTAGGAAGAGGAGACAGCTCCTGGGATGGACAGGCTGCGGCAGTCCCTGCTCACAGCCCCTCCTCCTGCCATCTTCCAACAGGTGAAGCCTGTGGTGTCCCGGTTCCTCCACGAGAAGCAGCTGCCATACCAGGAGGACTCGTACTTGGCTCGCTTCCGGCTGTTCCTCAACCGCTACGAGGAGCTCATGGTGCAGGCCCCGCTGATCACTGAGGTGGTGGGGCTGCAGTGAGGGCTGGGCTCCCCTCCCCGGCCCAGCCCTGGTGCTCCTGCTGCTGCTGGTTCTCAGTTGGTGTGCAGTGGTGGGTGGTGGGCGTGGAGCATGGAGGCTTGGGTGGGCAGTGAGACAGGGCAGCTGATGGGTGCCCTGTGTCCTGGGGGTTGCTTGCCCTGTTTGCTTTTTGGGGATTGGAGGGGTCTCTGGGTGAAAGGAATCTTGGTAACTGGGCATCCTGGGCCTGGCTCCATCTCAGGATCTTCCCCTGCTCCATTTGAGCCTGGCAGGGCAGCAATGCCAAGGGTGAGGTGAAATCCTGTGCCCAAGGCCAACTGGGAGAGGGAAGGGGCAGAGAGCAAAGGTCAACCCCTTAGCTGGGGCCTCCTTGACACCGAGAGAGTGGCACACTTGCTTGACTGCTGCTTCTTCCTCTGCTCTTCAAGGCTCTGACCCAGGGCCCCCTCCCCAGGGAACATGGGGCAGGGTCACTTTTGGCAGACTCCCTAGTTTCTCAGCCAGAGAAGCCTGTTCAAGTCACAGTTCCCAAGGCCCACAGTGTCACTGAGATGAAAGTGAGTATATTTTGTAGGGAAAGCTCTCAGGATAAGAGAGGGGAGAAAGTCCCTCAGGGACACAGCTGGGGAAAGAGTATAAATAGATTTGATCGTGACCTTGGCTAGCTCTGGAAGTCTGCTTTGTTCCATGATGTTTAGAAGCATGGGCCTGGGAGAGAGAATTACTGGGAGGTAGCTGAGTCTGGAGGGGGTTATGGGAACCAGTTTGAAGGACAGGTGGCCTTAGAGGAGACAGAAGGAAGAGAGTGGGGTGAGACAGAGGAGCTTGAGGTCAAGAGCTGGGCTTGCAGTGAAAGGGTGGTCGGCAGCCTAGGGGTGAGGTGGGAACATAAGGAAACTGCTGGTGCCAGACCTGGGAAGAGGCCAAATGTGGGGACCCAATGGGATGCAGCCCGAAGTAGGCAGAATTGAGGGAGGCTGGGAGCTGCCCCAGTTGGGGGCTGGACTGAGAAGGTCTAAGAAAGTGCCCAAATGGAAGCTGAGGGAGAGCTAGAGGAGGCCAGATGTGCGATACGAGACCACAGCAGTTCATTTATGTAGAATTTCCCACTACTGACATTTTACCTGGATAATTCTTCTTGGCTGTCCTATGAATTGTAGAATATTTAGTGGTGCCCTTGGCTTCTATCTACAAGATGCTGGGATTCCAATCATGACAATCAAAAATGTTTCCAAGCTGGGCACAGTGGCACATGCCTGTAATCCCAGTGACTTGGGAGACTGAGGCAAGACTGCAGGTTCAAAGCCAGCCTCAGCAACTTGGTGAGGCCCTGATCAACTTAGATGCTATCTCTAAATAAAAAATTAAAAAGGGCTGGGGATGTGACTCAGTGGTTAAGTGCCCTGGGTTCAATCCCTGGTACGTACACACACATACACATTTCCAAATGTGGTCAAATGTCCCTGGCCTATTGGAGAGCACAGCTACAGTCTCTGGTGTGGACTCTGGCACCTCTGCCATGTAGCTGCTTGGTATCCCTCTAACTCCTGCAGGCCTTCTCCTCTAGCTGTGGCTCTTGGTGCCCCCATAGCTCCTTCGGGCACCCTCTCCTCCAGCTATGGCTCTCATGAGTTCCCAAGCTACTCCTTCCTGGGACTCTTTGGGGGCCTGGCCCAGCAGTCTTGGCTGATGCTCACCCCAGGGTGCTTCTCTGGTCCCTTAACCTTGCTCACACCTCTTTATTTCTTCATTAAACTCTCTTCAATCACCCCTTTTGAACGGGCCATCTGTTCCCTGCTGGGAGGCTCATTGACAGAGCAGAGTTTTGGATCCAAACAGCCCTCCTGGAACGAGGCAGGCTTGGCAGCTGCCCCAGCCTACTGCTTTGCTATATGATGTTGCTTCTCTTTTGAAATGCATTAGCCACACAGAAATGGTCTTAAGGTCTAGGACTGTGATTCATCAAACAGCCAATTCTCCATATGAAAAATGCACTGTCAGGAAAAAGGCCCCACTCTCAAACTCCAGGCTAATGATTAAAACCGTCCAAATACATAACCAATGACTCAGTGTTATTGATCTGGGCCTGAATGGGGTATGGGCAGCAAGCAGCTGGATGTATCATGGGCACCTTAGAAATAAGTCATTTGATTTCTTTGAAGCTTGATTTTCTGTTACTCTGAGGATGTGAGCTGGGAATGATTGTTACTTGAGAAGTGCAGAGAGGTGACAGGAGTGAAATGAAGTGCTTCTAGGGTTTTGCAAATACCTATGGTCTAGTTTACAGAGGTATGTGGGAAGCGACAATATTGATGATAATAACATTTATTTTACATGTAGCAGATGTTTTTAACTGATGTCATCTAATTTTAATCTTCAAAAATTGGTACAATTTCTTCCTCATATTACAGATGGTGGGGAAAAAAAGACAGGGAGAGTAAACTTCTTGATGTTATAAAGCTAATGAGTGGCAAAAGAAAGATGTGAACTCTGTGTTCATGCTCTCAACCGCTAGACATACTGCCTCTGACGGGCAGGGAACCTTATAGAGCTTTCTGGGTGACTGATTCTGCATTTCCACCTTGTTCTCCTGTGTGAATGGATAATCAATGGTTTTATCAGTAAGACAAATTCTTTATGAATGTGCATTGGGTGGTAGGCCCTGTTTGAAACTCCAGGGATAGGAGTGAATGAGATTAGGCTGCCCACCCTCATGGAACTTATAGTCTAGTGAAGAGATTATCAAATTCTTTCCATAAAGGGCTAGATAATAAATATTTGGGGGTTTGTGGACTATGTGATCCCTGTCACAGCTACTCAAATGTTCCATTAAAACACAAAAACAGGGCTGGGGATGTGGCTCAAGCGGTAGCACGCTCGCCTGGCATGCGTGCGGCCTGGGTTCGATCCTCAGCACCACATACAAACAAAAGATGTTGTGTCCGCCGAAAACTAAAAAAAAATAAATAAATATTAAAAAATAAATAAATAAATAAAACACAAAAACAGCTAGAGACAATATGTAAAGATATGAAAATGGCTTTATTCTAATAAACTTTATTTATAAACACTGAAACTTGAATTTGTGTAATTTTCCTATATCACAAAATATTTTAAAAGGTTTTTAAACCATTAAAAAGCAAAAACCCTACTTTGTGTACAACCAGAGGTATGAAAAATTGTGCTCTATATGTGTAATATGAATTGTAATGCATTCTGCTGTCATATATAACAAATTAAAATTTTGAAAAAATGAAAAAAAGCTTCAGTTGTCATAAACAACAACAAAAAAAGCAAAAACCAATGTCACGGATCATACAAAACAACCCTCTGGGCAGCACTCAGCTTGCAAGCCACAATATGCATACTCACCAACTAGTGGGATAGCCATAAAACACAATGACAGAGCATAATAGTATTTACTTCTCAGGAGGGAGGGGGAGTGACAAGTTGGGAAGAGGGGACTCCTAGGATACCTGCCATGCTCTATTTCTCAATCGGGGGAGTGGTTACATGTTTACACCTCATGATTCAAGCTGTACATTCTGATTTGTGAACTTTTCTGTATGTTATACTTCAGTTAAAATGATTAAAAATGGCAAGCAGGGTAGTGTTAAAAAATTACAGGAGGACATTGTTTTGGACTAAATATTAAAATATGTATTATTTATCCTGATTGCTGAATTTTTTGGTGCCCCCTTAAATTCTGCACCTGAGGCAGGTAGCTCACCCTGGTCCTTGGGCTAATGGACAAAAGCAGGAAGGAGGCAGAGTGACACAGCTGGGCCTTCAGGGAAACTGAGACAGCACAAAGGCCCCTCTTCAAACTGCCATAAAGTCAGAAAGATTTTAAATATGTCACTCAGAGTAAGAGGCATGAGTTTATCAGAAGGGATGGGAAAAGGTAAAAGGGGACACCCTCAAGGGAGAGAATGGGTCCTTTCCGAAAGGAGAGGAATTAAGCTTCTCCGGCCTTCCAGTTTTATTGGGATCCCAGGGGAGTTTCCAGAAAGTTCTGCCCAGGTCCACCTCTTGCCTTTTGACTGACAGCAGGATGACATCAGGCTTTCAAGTCCCCACGCCTTAACAACTCTAGGTCCCTTTGGCCCATACTGACCAGTTTTAATTGGAACCTGTTCTTAACAGTCTGTAAGAGTCACAAAAGTCCCTTCAGTGTTACTTGTGCTCTTCTTATCAGCATTTCAGGCCTGCGTTCATCCTGTCAACTTAATCCAGGCAGAGCTGCAAGTGAATTGCTGTTTAGAAAACAAAGCTTACGGAGTCAGCAGATGGGCCCAGTTTACATTCTTTTGGGGAGTGGGGTGGAGCCCCTAACCTCCTGTTCTCCGCTCGCATCCCTGGGGCAAACAACTCCCCCTGCCTCCCCCGACCCCCGTTCCCTCACCTATAATGGGGAAGGAAGAGGGGCGGGACAAGCTCTCAGGATCTAACATTCTTCCTCGCCCCACCTGGACAGCACCCGGAGTTGAAGCGAAAGTCGCAGAGATTCAGGGCGGGAGCCCGCTTCCCCGCACTTCCCGACTCTGCGTCCCTCCAATGGGCGGGGAGGAGAGCTTAGAGCTGGAGTCCTGATTGGCTGAGGCTGACTACACAGGAGGACGCGCTTCAGTAAGGCAAACGCGCGTTGCGTCATCAGTGAGCGACGAGGACCTTTAAGTGAAATAAACTCCTTTCTAATTGGCTCCCTCCTTCCAGAGAGACTGGAACAGCGATGGGGGATTCGCTGTCCTACAACTCTAGGCTTCCGGTATTTGGAGAGAGGATGAAGATTGGGGAGAAACATCTGAAGTCTCTAACGGCCCTGAAGTCCTGAGGGGCGGGACTTTGGCCGTAGTGGGTGGACCCTGGGGCGGGTCTCTCGTGGGGGCGGGAATTCTTTGGGGAGTGGGTGAAGCCGCAACGCTGTGCTTTCCCTGAGTGTGAGGCGGGGCCAGTCGTGTGGGCGGGATCAGAAGTCGGACAGGGCGGAGTCAGGGGCGGAGTCAAGGAGGGCGGGGCCGAGCCGACGCCGAGCGCGGGGCAGTCACAGGGAGCAGGTCCCAGCTATGGCTCCGCGCTGCTGGCTCTGGTGGCACTGGTTGGGGTGGCCACGAATCCGACCACCTTCCGCTAGTAACTCCACGAGTAGGTGCAGGGCACTTTGGGCTGGACGGGAACCTGGGAGGCCTGGGAGCGCGAAGTGTAGGGGTCACCGCGGAGCAGGGCTGAGCTGGAGAGGGGAGAGACTTGAGGAGTCCATTCATAGAGAAGTGAGGGGTGGTGTCGGGCAAATGGGGGCCTGCATGGTGAGATGTGAAGCCTCACGGATGTGACGGGGGTTAGCAAAGATTGAAAGGAGAGACCATGAGGTACACATGTGTGAGACGGGGTTGACACAGAGGTCTGTGTGGAGACAGGGAAATTTGAGGTGAAACAGGGTCGGTCTGTAGGAGCAATATCGAGTTCTAAGGAGAGAGGGGAGTTAAAAGAAGAAAGAGAGAGGGCTTGTGGGGAGATCCCCACGGGTGGGCGGGGTTGGGATGATATGGAGTCAGTGGGAAGATGTAGGATAATAGCTGATTGGGTAGGGAATTCTATAAGAAAAATGAAAAAGTGCTGGGCAGGGAAGCTTCAGGGGCCATAAGGGTTGTGGACAGGACATAGGTTCATGGGCAAGGTGTGGGTATCTGGATAAAGACACAGCCTTTGGGGGTTCAGATGAATGAGGAACCCTATAAATGCCAAAGCTTTGAGAAAAATGAGAAGGAAGGTTCAGGGGAGGGTGAAGCTCTGCAAGATGCATCTCCTGACAGACTCATCTGAAGTTGGTTTGGGATTAGAGTGTTGATTTGACCTTGCTCCCCTTCTCTGCCCAGGCTTCTACCGGCATTTCTCTGCACAGAAGAATCCCCAGATCTGTGTGGTGGGCAGTGGCCCAGCTGGCTTCTACACGGCCCAACACCTGCTAAAGGTAAGCCACTTCTTCAGGCTTCATCCCCGTAATTCATTCACCTGTCGCTCCATCCCAAGGGCAAGCTCTACCCCTTTTTGGGGTTGCCTGATGAGGAAGAGGCTCCCAGCCCACCTAGGCTGTATATTTTTACCTGTTTTCTTACCTAGAGCTGGGGAGTCCCACCTTAGGTCCTCAACTATGAGAGAAGTGTGTTTGCCCCATGGTTGGTTGTCAGTGGCTGATGGGCAGCTGTGTTTCCTTGGCGGAGCACTCTAAGGAGCTTATGCAGCCCTCCAGATTGGCTGTCTTCTCATCTTTTCTCTTCCTTGTCTCCAGTCTGTCTCTGACAGCCTGCATTTCGAGGCACCTTCTTCTCCCAGCTTTCTGTAATTTTGTCCAATTTGCTGTGCCCTCCTCACCCACAGCTCCAGTCCTCCTGCTGCCTGGCTCCTCCCCCCACTACAGGCCAAGGTCTCAAGGCTTTCAGTATTGGCCAAGGCTACCAGATACACTAGGGCAGGGGGAGACCTAGGTTAACTGAGATGAGTCAGTGGCCTAGGTTTGGAGGAACTTGGAGTGTCTGTGGAGAGAGAGAAGAAAGGATGAATATATTAGTTATATACAATGCAGATTAAGAAAGGGTGGCCCACTGTCCTGAGTTGCCTGGGACAAGGGATTTTCAGTCCTGAAACTAGGAAAGGTCTCATGGAGACCAGGATGAACTGGTCACTGTTGAAGTGGCCTACACATGCTTCCCAAGCAACATGGGTGACAGAGCTAGTTAAGTGATACAAGCAGAGTGAGCCAGGCCAGGTGGGTCAACAAGAAGCTCTTTCCTACCAGGTGTGGTGGCACATGCCCATAGTTCCAGAAACTTAGGCTGAGGCAGGAGGATCCAAGTTTGAGGCCAATGTGGACAATTTAGTGGGTTCCCGTTTCAAAATAAAATTGGAGAAAAAAGTGAGGGGCTGGGGATATAGCTCAATGATAGGTGTATGGTGCATTTGAGTTGCACTGAAGGCCACTGGCTATGGGAAGGGCCTCTGGTGTGTGAGGAGTCAGCCTGGAATGCAAGGCCATGGGTGCAGGAGGACAGCCTGGGCTCTGGGATGGAGGCCAGGGAGCTCATACCATCTGGGGGACCACAGAGCCCCTCCCATTTTTTGTGGTACTGGGTATCAAACCCGGGCCTCTGCAGGCTGGGCAAACACTCCTACTAACTATACCCCCCCGGCCCAGAACCTCATTTTAAATTTCAGTTGTACTTGCTGTTTGCAGGGTAGACATAGGCAGGACTGGGATAAGGATAAGGGATCAGAAAGAGATGAGCAAGGAGACCCAGGGGCTAGCTCTGGGTGGAAGGGGTGAAAGGAAGCATAGGAGCAGAAGGGGGGACATTTGGGGGACAACAGTATGGTTTTATCTCAATGGCTTCAGGATGTCTGCAGTGGGTAAGACAGCCTAGGGTCTCAGGTTTAGAGCTTGGAGAGAGGTCTGGACAGAAGAGGGAGAGGGAGAAGGAAAAAGATCCATAATTTGAAATCAGGAAGGAGTCAGTAAAACCTCCCCAGAACTTGGGGAAAGAAGGGTCTCAGACCAGAAGCACCTCCAAAAGTGTCCTTGTTAGAGGGAGAACAGAGGGAAGGGGAACCAAGAAGGAGCAGCCAGAGGGATGGGTAAGGGAGGGGGTTTCCTGGAGGATGGGGTTGGCCATGTGAGATAAGGGGTGTTATGATGGTGACCTTGGAGAGAGCCTTCTTACCCAAATGAAGAAAAGCACAGAAGATAAAGACAGCTGGGTTGTGTCATGTCAGGACTTGACTGCCAGGCTGAGCAGTGTGAACTGTTCCAAGGCAACAGGCAGCAAAGGAAGGTTTTGGAGCAAAAGAAAGGTAACAACAGTGGTAGTGATAGTAATGATAGTTTACATTGATTGAATGCCCTTGTCAGGCCAGGCCTTGGCCAAGAGCTTCAGGACTTACTCATTTTACCTTGAGCCTGACACAGAAGGGATGTTCTATTGTACAGAGAAACTAGAAAACTTTCTCTGTGGCACAGAGCCAGTTAGTGGTGGCAATGGCTGTGGACAGGCAGTGGAGTGGAGGAAAGAGGGGATTTCGCAAAGCTGAGGCACTGAGGGCAGGAGCTCCTAGGCCTTGCATTCCGTTGAATCAGGAGGTTCTACAGGAAGTGTCTATGTGGGAGTGCAAGCCAGGGTGTCTTCCATAGGAGCCCCATTGCTCTACCCCAGATGGTTTGTGGCCAAGAAGTCTCACCATCTTGACCTCCTGATATTCTCAGTTTAGAGAAAGAACCTGAGACCTAGGAGGTCCTGGGACTTGCCAGGCTCATGCTGCTGATTGGTGGCAGAGCCAGACCAGGCTTACCTGCCCAGTCCCAGCTCTGTGCCATCCCTACAGCCCCTCAGGGTGCCGCAGGAGGACAGGCAATGTGGAACTTCTGTTAGAGTGAAACTGTTTTCAAAGACTGGGAATAAGTTCATTTCTACCTCCTTCTCCCCTGCCCATGCCCCTGCTATGTCCCCATTTCCTATCTTGTTGGTCCCTGTTCCAGTGGGATGACATTGGAGACTAGAGCTAAGGGTAGGTATGAACTTAAAAGGGTGGTTAGGTAGTGTGGCACATACCTCTAATCTCAGCTTCTTGCGGAGCTAAAGCAGAAGGATCACAGATTTGAGGGCCTGTCTCAAAATATAAAAAGGGCTGAGGATGTAGCTCAGTGGTGAAGCTGCCCCTGGGTTCAACCCCTAAAACCATTAAAAAAAAAAAAAAAAAGATTTTCAAAAGGTGATTCTGAAGTCATGAGACCTGCTGAGTATTTCTAGAAGTGTCAGAGGGTCAGAGGGCAAGGCTGATCTGACTTGAGTAGATGATGCTCCCCTGATACTAAACTCCATGGAGGGGAAGCTTCAGCTCTCCTTATTTTGCCACATTTCTCACAATCTCATGGCTGGCTATCCTTCCTGAGGTCTGACCTCAGCCTGTCTTGCTGCTCGTTCTGCCCCTTGTTGGGCTCTCTGGGCAGAAGAGGAGACAAGGGGCACTCTTTCTTCTCATAGATAGTCAAAGCCTCTTTGTGTTTTCTGCTCTCTGAGCTGAGCTCTCCTGCTCTCTCTGGGGAAGGGAGGACCCAAGGGGGCCCTGCTTTTCCCTCCACCCTCCCAAATGTGCCTTCTCTCCCAGCACCACACCCAGGCCCATGTGGACATCTATGAGAAGCAGCTTGTGCCCTTCGGCCTAGTGCGGTTTGGTGTGGCACCTGACCATCCCGAGGTGAAGGTGGGTCTCTCTGAGTATTGAGGGTGGTGTTTGGAGACACTGGACCAGACAAGGAGGTCAAGGAGGCTCCCTGGCTGGATAGAATGACCCTAGGCCCCCTGTGATGGTTCAACCCAGGCAAGCGTGAGGGTGACACTGGGTCCCTGGAGCTGCCTCAACCTCTAATCCCTCCCTCTTGGGGGCTTACTGGCAGAATGTCATCAACACCTTCACCCAGACTGCCCGATCGGACCGCTGTGCCTTCAGGGGAAAT